CATCATGTTATTTTTATTTTCGTGTTGCTGGCCTAAAGAGAGGCAGCATTTATATTTATTTATTATATTCGTATTTGCATTTTTATATAGCTATCATTGACTGGTACTTTGGAAAAGCTTTGATAGTTATCATATTTATTTCGTTAAGTTTCTTGCTAAAAGTTATGTCCAACCCTATTATTTTAATATTTGATATTTAAATTATAAGTTTTGATAGTTCAGTAGTCCGATCTTTCATTTGAACACAGTCACTCGCCATATTTCAGAAATATCATCGTAGACAATGACTCTGAAAATGGTGACAATATATATTTTAGTATTGTAATTACATGCTTAAAAAACTCTAAAAAAAACTCATCGTATTTGATTTTTCTAACATAATTTCAAGAAAATTGTTATAAAATCTAATGAATTATAGTATAATATATTATAATACATTAATATACACAACAATATAGACCAATTTTTATTAATAATTAATAATATTTATTAATAAATATTATTAATTATAATAATAAATATAGCAATAATGAATATAATGATAACAAATATAACAAAACTAGCAAATCTATCAACAAATAACTATTTGTTTACTACTTACTTGCTGTTTTAAGATTGTTTTTCTGTTAAAAAGTTTCTATTAATATTTAAAATATTTAATAAATAATACTTAAAATAAATAAATAATAATTTTATTTTTATCTTGAAAGTAATTATTTAACTTCTTAGTTCTTTGTTATTCTTTATTGATAGATAATATACATATATTTAATATCACATTATATTGAATTCAATTCTAACTCAAACAAAATTCAAGTCAGATTTGAATCAAATTGTACTTGAATTAAACTTTTATTTTGAATTTGTGTTATATTTGAGTTCAAATATTTTAATAATAAATATATTGAGCAATTATAAGTAAAGTTATATATTATAATAAAAGCTACAAATTTTTATAAGATAGTTAATATTTAAACACAATTTTACAGAGTTATATATTTTTGCAATTATTTAGATTTTTAATTTATTGTTATTACATTAAAGTAAACTCTCATTTTTTATTAGAAAATGCAAACTACAATTCTAAGCAAAGTTATAGAGTATAATTAAAGTTATAAATTTATATATAATACTTAATATTAATAATAGATATTTAATTAGTTATATAATATTATGATAAATACTAATTTAATTATATCTAAGTAAAGTTTAAATTAGAGATGGCGCAGCAAGTATGTGACGCTTATTTGTCACCCGTTGCAACATGTTGCAACTCCAAAATTTTATAAGCTGCAACTAGTTGCAACTAGGTGATGCTTTATTTGTCACCACGTTGCAACAGTTGCCGCACCATCTTTAGGAGGAACTATTGGAACAAGCGAAATAGTCATTTTAGAGTTATAAATTTAGTTTCAAGCACAAATAAAATATAGTAATTTTAAACCTAATAAAACTTGAATATAAAAAAACTGAGATCGTAGAGAAAAAATGATTTTTAATTCGGGTCTTCTTTTACGTACACTAAAAATTGTACAATTTGATTGGGTAAAATTCACGTGTTAGCTTGTGCTAGCTTGACTCAGGGTAGTCAATCACTAGCCAATCACACATTTTGTGTCAGGTTGTTTTTGCATTATTATTGGCTGTTTTTTATCATAACCAAATCGGGTTACATAGATGCACTCGAGGTCAATTTCCATATCGAGGTTTTAAACCGCTATGATCTACCCCTTAAACTTGACGTTTTCCAGACCACACAAATACCTTATAAATAACGCCTCTTCGCTACCATGTCAAGAAAATCTGAACTTACCGACAAACCAGGATTTTCTTACTTCATGTCCACATCATGTGAAAATTGGGATGCGCTGGAATATTATGAGGAATGGTGTGCGGCCAAACATCCTATTAGCAAATCAAAATTTTGCGTTAGCAATCACGCGACAGATAGAGTGGTTCAAGAAGGAGGGATCAAAAGGGAGCTGAGAGAATGTTTGAGCAATATAAGGTAGTTGTGTTCTTTTTTTGGGTTAAATGACTAGGTACTGGCTTTAGTTACGGTTAATATGGCGGTTGTGACAGGAATCACGAGGGAATACGTTTCGCCCGTGTATGGAATACGTTTCTGCCCTGTCTCAACTGGGATTGAAGCTACCCACTGGAATACGTTTCGAGTGGCGATGGAATACGTTTCCGCTGAAATCCTACCATGAACTTGACCCAAAGAAAAAAATCTCACAGAAAAATTAGATTTAATACTAATTTACGACCATAATGTATGATTCATATAAAGAAAATAAATTACAAAAATTATCAAAATCTTTAGTTAACCATTACGATTGTGAAACTTGATTTTTTGTAGGAGGGTTGAAGCCTGGTGGGTACATCAATGATTTTTGGATCAAAATTGATCTGGAAAAAAACGCGGACATAAAAGAGGCCGAGGTTTCTGCGAGAATTCGTGAAATACAGGTAATGGAAATTGTTGGTCTTCAATCTTCATCCACACATTTAAAATTAAGCTTAATTCCAAATCTTTTTCTTTTTATTTCCCATACAATAGGCAGGCAAAGATTTGCTTCTGGTAAGGTTTGACTTCAAACTCGCAGATTTAATGTCATTACTAAATACTAATAAATATTCCGTTTTATGTAGAATGGGAGATCCCTTGGTGTCTTGGAAGAGACGATAGTGGAACATAAGGAAGCATCAGGGATATTGACCGGCTTTGCTCATTCCGAACACAATACCAGAAAGAGAAGAAAGCATGGATATGATACACCGTCGCCACGTAGCCCAGCATTAAACAATTCACCGGTAGAACCTCCAATGCTCATCAATAATATCGATAATCCGTTCTTTGAGGAGGATGACCACATTATAGCAATTGATGATATCCCATGTGAACTATCTTTTGAGCATGGAGATTCAGCTAGCGATTTTTTTTTAGGAGAGACCAATGTGTCTCAATTATCCGGAAGTATCAGAATGAATCGATAAGGATTGCAAAAAACGGAGGTTTATTTGTTGAGTCGAATGTTCACGAAATATTATCACTGTCAATTTTAATGCTCGCTCCAAATTCACATTCAAACCTAATGATCGATCTTTTTGGCTCGCCTTTACTCGATCTAATTCATCAAGAACTTATGCCTACGCAACAAATTGTATTGGATCCTAAATGCGAGTCAACATTTAGAGAGGCCATTAAGATGGCAACAAAAAGTCGTGTGATGATGCCACGAGTTGGTTATGTATGCAACTTGCTAACGACAAAACACTGAGAGATAGTTCGGGTTTCGTCATCTTAGATTGTCTAAGAACGTTGCCCATGTTGAAAATAAGAACGAACATAGCGAAACAACGCATATTACAAATTATCTTGACCGAATTATGAGAGGATTCTTTGATAATCCGAACCAGCACATTGTTCCATGGCCCAACACGGCTCTAGAAAGATTGAAGGCCGAAGTAAACAACCGGATTTCGTAGTTTCTATCATCCATCAACTACAAGCAAATTCCGTTATATTTATAGGTGAAGTGAGTCCACCATCACAGAAAGACAACGTCTACAAGAATTGTAATGACCTCATCCGTCTCGGTGTTTTTATGAAAGACTGTCAAGATTCGGCTATAGATAAAGGCGCTGATATAAAAGTAATAGGCTTTCAATGTATTGGTAAGGCGATTAAATAGCATGCTTTTTTCCTCACATAATTATTTTTTAATCACCTTTGTTTCTGTAGACTATAAAATTGACTATTACATTATGGATCTCGTTCGTGGGATATATACTATGGTCTACATTGGCCAAGTGACAATTCCAGCTTCAATTAAAGAAATGTCAGCTTTTGTTGATGAAATGGAAACGCTTCTAAAAATACAAGAGATCTTTCTCAAATCATTTAATACTTTATATGTTAAACTCTGTATTCCAAGTCCGCCATCAAAAAAAGTAACATTCAAACGGGACACTCTTTACACTCCCAAATTTAGGCAACTTGTGAGCAAGACACGCAACTGTCACAGAAGCTGTCCATTTTGGTTTGGACGTTTTTAGAATAGGTCAATTGATAAATAACTTCATAATCAGATTATTATAAAATCTTGTAATATGTGTCAATAAATATTAATAAACTTCGCTCACATTCTGAACTTTATCTTTTTTTAGCACCATGTACTAGTTCCACTAATATAATTTTATAAATTAGCATAGGATGCAGTTTGCGACTCGAGGTCTATGTACAAGTGATAAAATCCACTATATCGAAAAAGAATGGAAAAGCGTCTTTATTTGTTGGATTGCGTAGCATCGAAAGGAGTTAAAGTTCGGGAAAAGGTTTCTACGAGAATTATTAATTGAAACATTAATTCGTGAGGCTACGTTAACCAGGCGCAACTCCCCAAGTTATAATAACGAAATATCCTATATCCCGCCTAAATTTCTTAAACTAGTCGATGAGGAGATAATTAAGATGGATCATGATGATAGAGTGGAACCTCAAGTCAATACTTTAAATAACGGATTGTGGATTGCTTTCGGTCGCTGGTTAGGTGTCAAAGAGCCAGCTGCAAGAAGAGGTGTACGTCGACATCTCCGATCAAAATGGATGAAACTTAAACACGCTTTTAATTTGCAAAAAGATAAATTACAGAAATGCCTCGAATATAACCGCCACACATATTTCTCGAATGGAAAAGGCCCGATTAATTGTATCTGCACGGGGTAATCTTGGTTCGCTTAAGAAAATGGTCCAGTTTCGTGGTATTGTGGAATCAGAGTGCATTACGGATTCTGAAGGTAGAACTTTAATTCACCTGGGGGTACTTAATAATCCAAACGCCGTAGAAAAAGCTACCGAAGCCGTAAATCATTATTATTTTCATACGTTAGAGCATCCCTCCCATCGAATTCTGGAAGAATTTTATCGAACATTTTGGCGTATATACGTTATATAATCACCTTCCCTATACCAGCTCCAATACGGCGGGTGCACATAACACCGATCATCAAGAATGCGTCAACGATTTGATCCATAGTCTCGAGCCGTTATCGAATTGCGTTAATAGATTTCTTAAAATATATTATCAGAATTTGTACGAGAAATTAAGCAAGCTAGAATAGGGGCATTTGCACCTAGAACATTCGGAGTCTTCCCTATGATTGCGATCAACTTTAATACGATTAGCGATTACCACTGGGACGAGCACGACGAGCCGAATAGTTTATGTTGCCTGGTCGCTCTTGGTGATTATGAAGGAGGAGAACTATGCTTCCCACAACTTCAGATTGTAATCCCACTTCGCCCAGGACAAGTTGTTGCCTTTTCCTCACGTCTCTTGTTACACGGCAATCTTCCTGTCACGAGAGGAATTCGTCATAGCGTCGTGTATTTCGTACATGCTTCGTTCTTTCATAATTCGCGGGACTTCACTCCAATTTATAATGACCTTGAAAATGGGATCGAGAGATGCTCATGGGTCGGTTGTTCCTATGATTCCTCAACAAGATCTCAACGATGCACGAGATCTGAATAACCGAATCGGACTCTCGCAACCGAAAAAAAGTCAAACCGAGATGCCTGAAAAGGCTAGTGATAAGAGACGAAAAAACATCGGTAAGTAATTCAATTTTATTGTTAATCGGCGGCATTTCCGAATTTTTATAGGATTAATCCGTGTAAAGAAAGCAATATAAAATTTATTCTTTATAGATTTGACGCGTGCCCCACGAGGATTGCAGGCCGAGGATCCAATACCCAACGAATCATAGTCCCGCAAGTGTTATATGTCATATAATAAATATACATGTATAACGATCACTGTTTCATTCATGTAACGATCACGATCACAGTTAATAAATTTACAGTATTTACACAATGATCTGGAGTTGCTTTTCTTCCTTCGGCGTTGGTAACATCGTATGCATTTTTGGCACCATGGATAAGGAATTATACTGCGAAATTTTGAATGGTGACTTGTTAGAAACTATCGAGCATTACGAGTTGGATAAGAATAATATCATTTTCCAACAGGATAACGATCCGGAGCACACGGCTAATTTAACGGCGCAATGGTTTTACGATAATGATATTGAGGTATTAGAATGGCCACCACAATCTCCCGACCTCAACACTATAGAACATCTCTGGAATGAGATAGATATACGGTTTAGAAGGTTTGAAAATCCAGTTCGTACTCAAGATGAGTTATGGAAAGCTATTCAAAAAATATGGATTCCAACTTTTTAACTAGTCTAATTGAAAGTATGCCCGAACGAATAAATGCTGTAATTGAGGCTAAAGGAGGGTATACAGAGTGGTAAAGAATAGTTTATTTAAATTTCGTAAATTTTTAGTCGTTAG